AATAGATACATATGTGGTAGCTGCATTACCTGCAAGATTGCATCCTTCATGTACATCGAAGATTGACATCAACTGTGAATAGCAATTGAAAGCAATTTTATCTAACTCACAAAGAGTAAAAAAATCGATAGATCTAGAATCCAGGTACGATATACAACCGTTTTACTGCGGTACAAACTAAGCCGATTTATAAAGTTCATCTTTATCTTTTTAGATTATACGTTATTAATTAATTATACCCAAGACTTGTGAAATAATGAAGATAAAATAATAAAACATCTGTATTAATTAAAAAGATTGAGATATAAGAAGAGAAATGGATAAGATGGACATGATATAAGAAATATAAGGTATTACAGTAAGTTTTGAATTTATATGCAAATAGAGGTCAATTAAATGATTACAAGAGCTACAATTGAATTGCAAGTCTGCAATGTGCCTTACGTAAATTATATTTGGAATACTGCTTGCACTTGTAATCCTCTTGGTAGCACCATTACCTTCTTATCTTCATTTATATACCTCAAACAGAAGCTTTACTGAGTCCTTAAGTTACTGACTACCTACTGTAGCTCAGAATAAGTTACAGACATACATAAAGCGCTTCCGACTAATTTATTGTTTCAATTCAATCATTGTTTTTCAATCAACTATCTTGTCTCCTCTCTTCCCTTGATGGATGTTTCGTGTTCACATTATTGTTTTCATTGATGAAATTGAATTAAATGAGGATTAATTTTAATGGATGCAGTTTACTAATAGTGTTGATAGAGTAAGCCTGCTTGTTTGATGGATCTATATTGGCTACAAGGGGGTAATTCTTACGTAATCACACTTTCGTTCAAAAAGTATAGCACTATTCCCAATCCAGGAATATTTTACTTCAAGACGAATCTATTAAACAATATCAAAAGCTGATATTGCAATACAATCTGTACTTATGAATTTATGAAGGATCATGAGGATTCAGATATCATTTCATAATGTCTGATATACTAAGTGATTGCTTAAAGTTTTTTCCTAAGCAATTAGTGGGGGAATTTCAAAGGTAATCTGATCATAAATTGAAGGGCTTAATTTTATGACATTTTATCGTTAAGAGGCACTAAATTTGTCGTGTCATTTTCATCGGATACATTGTCAATATACATTGCATAATTATTCCCATTTTGGAAACTGACAGACTTATAAATCTATTTGAATGCTACTGATTACAATATTAGATAATATTCAAGATTTAATCTGATATTTTTTAAAGCCCCTCCGATTAATGTAGGCAAATTAAAAAGAGCCTAGCAATGTCGTAGAGTTAATGAAATACGATTGATTTTAACTATATCGATATTGCAATATTCTTGGCAATGCTATACCTATTAAAAAAGTTCAATCATTGTATATCTAGCTAAAATTCCTCCTTACAATTCATAACCACTAGTGCAAACTCCCGTCGCTTTGCTGACGGTTTACGATAATGTGCTCATTTAACAGATAGTATTACCATTTGATAGACCTGTCAGATGCACCGTGAGTAGACTATAAAAGGAGTTGATGGCCAATGCTACGTAAAAATTGGAATTAAGGAAGGGTAATCGTGTCTACTCGAGTGCTTTAGATAGAGTCGTAAAGCTAGTTTTAAATTTTGATCAATGCAGAATTTCAAACATTTATTAGACTATTTTTAATGTACATCCTATATTTAAGATGTTCGCGGATATGTTTTTTCTGATATGAACAGGATGCATTACATTCTCCTTTATAAGAAAGAACTACTAACTATAGAGTATCATCAATATACCGTGACAAAATTCTCGTAATTGGAATCATTTCTAGACGTTGGGAATACTGTAAATGTTTAAATAAAAAAAATCAATTAAGTACTCCAAACGATTACTACAATAGTAGTGTATGAACTTAACTTTACTAGCAAACAGAATACAGAAATCTTGATTAATTACTCAATATTGGCAATGAAATCTGAATATTTTTCTTTGAAGTAAGTATTTCTATAGTAATTCTTAGAAAATGCCTCCTTTAAAATAACAGTCAATGTGTTGCCAATTATTGCTTATAGAAGAAACTATGTTCTTTTTTTGACGCCTTAGCTATGTATTCATAGTTGATGGCTATACGTTATACTCAACTTCCATCAACTGTTTACAGAACTTAGGAGAATTATTGTTAAACTCATCTCAAGGATTAATATTGCTCTTGAATGTGGTTCCTTTTTCTATCTCTGATTTGAAACTTTAAAATAGAATAAAAATGCTACACAGGCATAGAAATTATGTAGGGAATACTTTCTAATTGTCCTCTTTTACGATGACAATCACTCACTTAAAATTTGTGGTTACTAACATTGAGTAAATCTCTAGCGAGACACAATTAGACCAACATTGTGTTTAACCTTCATTCGATTTTAGTCAGTCAACTCATCAGGGTTGCAGTTAGTAGTTGCCAGTTACCGGCAATCATAAGTAATTATTATTGCTTGACAAGTCTGAGCACCATCTTGTGCGCTATTTGATTAGTTACGTTCAGTAGAGAGATCCATCATGATTTATATTCTCAGTTAGACCGTAATGTCAAATAATATTCAACATCGTTTTGGATCATTACTTTGTCTCAAATAAAGGGTAGCCTAGGACTAACAGATATCGGTCAGGTATTGATCATTTGTGTAGAAGTAGTCCAATTAGTATATTAGTCGGAGTACCTCGAGAATTTGCCGCATGTGTGGATGAAATAGTTCTCACACAAGATGTTAAAAATACTGAACGGTAATAATCATAAATTTTTATAGCTATTTCGGACGGTCTTGGACGCCCATAGTATGGCTAATCTCAACGCTCTCTCACTTTTAAATTACCGGCGTTTACAATCTTGAAGTTGGATTATACCATGGGGTGTCTGCGCAATCTATGGTCAGCCTTTCCTAACACTTTGAAGTCCTAACCAGAAAGGTTCTTGTCTATAGTCCAAACATAGCGATTCTGTCTTATACTGTAGACACCGCACTAATCTTAGCACTGTCGGAAAGGTCAGGACACAGCATACAAGCAGTAGTACAGATTTTCTTGTTTATAGTTAGTAACTCCTGGTATAAGTCTGCATGTAGAGAGTGAATATCTAGTACTAGTAAATCGTTATTCTTACTAGCTATCGTACAACGATTTTTATTTAGCATGCCATAGTGTTCTACTTCGTAATGCTACCTTACTTCTTGTTACTACTTTTACTAGCTAAATTCTCGACAGCATATGTATTGTATATTATCGTAGTACTTCATAAATGCAGGCTTTCAGTAGTTGAAGGACTTTCATTTCTTGATAGCAGTTCGCCTATTTCAAATACTTCTAAAAATTGATTGCAAGGAATCATTCAGTGATGAAACATTGAATTTGACTATTTCATCTGACGTTGTCGTTACATTAGTGTTCCAAATTGAAATTTGTAAAGACGAAAAAGTAGAACAGTACCAATCTACTGTCAAGTTTTGTCCTCCCAGAAATTTACCTACGGTACGATTCTAAATACTGACAGTCTCCCATCGTTAGAGGAACACTAAACATCAATAGTCTCATATTAGACAAATGAATCCAAACTTGATTAAAGAGTCAATCAATTATATTGTAGAAAACCAATATAAGCATTAATCATTCGTACTTAGATAACATTATAAAAGTATGCAGTTATCGCTTAAAAGTATGTCTTTCGTCATAAATTAATTAATATTAACACATTCCTAGATAAGTTATCTATCTATGGAAACTATGTTACGGCAGCCATGCAAAAGTTTTTCCTTAGCTGTTAGACACACTCATTTATGATGTGCAGTATGTTTATTCCAAGATCAGGATACAGGAATGATTTAGGGAACCCAAGTTGAATTTTGTCAGTATCGTGAAGTACGCCGACAGCAATGTTATAGAGAGTGCAATTCAGAAACAACAGAGACTAAAATAGCGCAATATGGTAATGTTGATACTTTGCAATGTTAATATTGATGGTCTAATACAAATCAGTACTGAAAATCTGTTGAAGCCATGGATATTGTGTCTTCTACACTGTACAGTATGGCGAATTTAGGAGAGAGACTAGCTATTCAAACAATCTGGATGCTACTTTTGTCCTAGTTTCCCCTGTCAACATCATCCAATTTGCCGTCCATCTTCATCCGTACGTCCAATTTGTGCTAAGTTCTGTTTCAAAACAGAACCTTCTGTTTCATTCTGCTTAGCCCACTCAAATCTATCGTTGCTAATATTCGATATCTATTGATTTTTCCATGTTCTTACTAACTCTAAAAAGATTAAATATCCAGTCTTTGGGAATTATTACTGTGTCATGATGCAACAATTGGATAATAATCGCCTAAAAAATGACATACGAATCTTTTATTACCATGATACAAAGATTACCATAATTTGTTTATGATACTCCCTAGTGGTAGACTAATTTTAAATTTCACAGTTGGAGATATTTCATGTACTATATGTTTTCTCTACTATTGTGATCCGCTGATGATGAAAAATTTCTCCAACGGAATCATTTGTATAACCTATTCTATTTGTCAAGGATATCGACAATGGCTTCTATTATACTATCATCATTTAAACATATCATTCAAATTATTCTGTCAATATGAGACCATGGCCGTTCATTGTAGCTTTAAATTACGTCATGTTATTCTATTCCTACCGATAGCTGTTATAAAAAGCAAGAAAAAATTGTTAGAGGTTTAGTTAAGTGTAAGCAACCGTGCTGTTAACAAGGTTGTTGTAGATCGAAAATTTGGCTCATATTCAAGAGTTGGTGTAGTTTTATGCGACCATTGTGGCATATCTTGTTAGAATAAGATCAGTTGTACTTTTGAAAATAACGCTTTTTAACCGGAATGTAATCATTTTTCATAGACTATTCCATTTCATAACATTGGAACGATATAAATCTCTGCATTGACAACTTTTTACAACTGAGATCGAATTTAAAAAGTGTCGACGATGACTATGAATAGAGATACCAACTACATGAAAACAATTTTGATGATCAATCTATTAGTTTTTTCAACAGTGGAAGGCAAAACAGTTACCCAAACTGTGTCAGAATTTTCCTGTCCAACCAATTGTCGCTGTCACAAGAGGCAAATTTTCTGCAAAACCATTGCAGATGTTTCTCTTAAATCAATTGGAAACGATGTTCAAACACTGTAAGTTAGAATAATATTCCTAATTTGACTTCAATAAAATATCGTTTATTATGTATGGATGGATTGATTTTCACCCAATTTATTATTTTGCTATTGGTCTACATCACGGTATCTGTAGTTTACGGAAATCAATCGGTCACCGATTTGATTTGGTGTTAAACATTTTTTGTTGTACCTAAAATTTCCTATAGTACCGTACAAGTGCTGTACAATTGCAGCTGTCTAATTTAATAGAAATACGTCGGAAAATTTTCGTGAAAGAAATTGTTTCAGCAATGCGATGACTGTTATTAAAGTCACCATTACCACTAGGATATATCTTATTTCAAATGTATCTAGATGCCTAGAATACATGCGTAATTCAGTTCTAGAACAACCACAAGATAGCTTATTAGAGTGTAGGAAATCGTTAAGTGATATGTGAAAGTGTCAGATTGACAGTGTATGTGCGAGATTTGTAGATTAAGCGGAATGACAAGATTGCGTTAAGCACCTATCTACGTTCAATAATAATATTATAATTAAAGTAAATATTGTAGCTTTGATTAGGATAGTCTATTAAGGCAGTTAGACACCAAGGGTTATACAAGTAATTTGATGCTAGATTAATAAGAAATTATGGATCTAAATAGTGGCTTGGTCTTGTTCCTAGTTGAACAAGTAGTTTCGAAATTGTCGTATTTGATCATTCTGATTTTAGATACTTTATCACACTGGTCTACGTTGATCTTTTTCGTGTCTCAGATGTTTCCACTCAAGTTCTATGGCGGCAAAGTTTATTGACTTAAATGCTTATAGTAAACATTTTTATCAGACCGTTGAGTTGAGCTGGTATTATGCTCTTAAAAGTAAAAAGAAATTATTCGTTGTTTACTATGGTGAGGGAATGTAGAAATGAGTCATCAGGGAACATTTTATCCCCAATTTTAGATAAAGTAACTAGCAAGAAGGATAATAGGGAAGTATAGTTTACAGGATTTCATATTTTTAAAATAATTCAGTTTACAAAAGTTCCTACGTCATTGGAAAATACTTTAAGTTAAACGTAAAAGATGATATACCCTTCAAGTTGAATAAACAAAACATATCGCAAAAGAACGTCATGAAATAGACTTTTTAGCGGTATTATAAACCTTCGAGTCGCTATCTCGGCTTATAAATTATCTTAATTGCAACTTATTATGTACAATAAATGCTATAAGAAATATAATCTTTTCAATAACTTGACTCGTGTCTTTACTAATACCATTGATCATTTATTGAAGTGCTATCCGACAAGAAATTTTATGCACCAACGAAAAAGTGATAGCATTGCTAAAGCAGGCTGCAAAGGTTTCCACTAAATTAGCTATCGAATGCCGTGATTCCAAAACTTCAGTTGGTAAAATGTTGATACTACATGTCAATAAATATGAACACCGCAACATGAATAGTCAAGGTAGAATACATTCATGTTCATTCTTTGTGAATCATTTAAAATTATGAATTTGTTCCATCGATTAATTGGTACTATAAATACACGCTCAACTAAACTACTGCTAATATGTAAATATGGTTTACTTGAATTTCATCTGCATTAATTTAAAATGTTGTGCAGATCGACTACACAGCTAGGTGATGATTGCTGCTTCATAGCCGCTGTATTTTACTTCTGTAGTAGTAATTGATGCTTATTATAGCGATAATGAATTAATTTAAATCTAGCTCTCGTATAATTTGAATTTTATAGTCCACATTTGCCTAGTACAGTCTATTTCTAATTATTGTTTTGGGTGAAAATCATTCGTTCCCTAATTCGCTATTGTCATGCATTAATTTGGCTTTAATATTTTAAAGTAAAACACTCTATCAGATGAACTTGGATTTACTTGTTTACGGTATTTGATATTCCGCAGACTTTGCCCAGATAAATTCAAGGATTAAAAGATCGCTTCATGATAAGTCAGGTAAGCAAAAAATTATCATTTTGCAATAACCTTAGCTACTTTGCAAAATTTATTAATGGATGCCGCAGAGTAAGTAAAATCATGGGCTACTAGATGGCACACCTAATAATCCATGGTAAAACTATCAGCAAACTCAATTAATTACAATAATTGCAAGCTAATACACGTTGCGACAGTAAAATGCTGCTTACTGTGTTTAAATAATGATTTAACTCAGATTCCATTGCTGCTATAATCCTTGTATAAAATCAATATTATCTTGGCGATGTTATCAACTTTTTGATGATCTATCTATTGATCATCTTTGTTGCGATATATCTTGTAAAGTTATAAAACTGTAGCTTCGGTTAATTCATTAGATTCGCGTCCGAATGCAAAGCCATTGCCCAAAGCTGATCGAAATTATAGCTCAAATAAAGCTCAACATTCAAGTCCTAAGACATTGGGAGATAATAGTAATAGTAGCTATTCTTCCAATATTCTATTTATCATCATTTTCTCAATATTCTCTGTCCTCTTAATTGGTATATTGACTTACTGTCGTTGGAAGATAAAAAGAGATTGTGTGGATAGTGGCCAAGAGGCTAATCCTTCATTGACAAGATCGAATGTAAATACCAGCACTTTCAGGCGTCAAGATCATGTTCCACCTCCCAGTTATGAAGCTACTAGTAAGTCTATACTGATTTTAAGTCCGCAATTACGCACAACAGAGGACAGTTGTTAATGTTATGTTCAATTTATTTGCATCTTTATGTCTGAGTAGACTTTACTTCTGTGATTTGTAATTAGAGCTTAATGCTATTTCTCTTTCTACTTGAGCTTATGCAGAGAAGGTTAATTTCATTTTCTCATAACATAAACAGGAAATTTATCTACTGGAGCTGCCGTAGATTGTGAACAAATTGACGGTTAGTTCCCTGATTTGTGTAGTATACTCTAAGATAAGTTATTTTTTCATCATTAATTTGGGATTGAGGCCTTTCAATAACGAGATAATGATCAATTTAAAGTATTTAAAATGAGAAATTTCTAAAATTTCATTTCTAGAACTTGCTATCGAGGCTGAACCTCCTGGCTATTCGAGTAAATATGACATTACTTTTATAGCCTTAGTAAAATTAAAGAAGCAATTGTAAGTAGTTAATGATATTGCTTTTTGTTTGAAATATCAGCTTCTGTTACTGGACGTGCTAACTCACCGTTGGGCGGAATAGAGTCCCAACAGCAATCGATTGATCAGGCTTGTATGATAAGAGAAAACTCAGCTCATCATATTATAGTAAATAGAGTGCAGGGTAAGAAATATTATTCTTTTTTATTCGTTTTTTTGGTGATAACTTGGGAATTAGTAAAATTGTAGTATTAACCATTTTCATCTTTTTGCATTTGACCAGAATGTGAAATTTTGCCGGATTATGATTCTCTGAATTGATAGCATTTAAGAAGTTGTAGTTCGGACTGATTCATGAAATTTGTGTTTCGATAAATGAACATTTGAGTACGAGTATTATACTAACAGACTTAAATCATACACTACTATATAATAATAATGTATAAAAAATTTATGTGCTTGCGGCACTGATTTTATTTCGTTTATGCAAACTGACAATTACGTATGGAAATTAATAATGGAAAATTTCTTATTAAAGTAGCTGAAATAATGTTAATTAATATCTATGTAGTCTGTTACTGACAATTGTACACTATTGATGAAGGAGCTTTTACATACTACATTAACTATCTGTTATTATAGCCTTGAAATCGAATCAATTTTTAATCTGGATTCTTAATCCATAGCCCCGAATTGTTCTATGCAGACACTTAAAGGTGAAACTAACTCTTAAGAGTTAGACCTAAATTCTTTAAATATTCAGATGAGCTGTATAAATTTCTAAGATTTCATTGGAAATGGAATAAAATATACGGTGTAATACCGATATAGTAAGTCAAATGAGATACGTGAAATTAAGACGTGTATTATAAGTGTAATATTAGTAGCATAAAAACTTATTTACTAATACTAGTCAACTTCTGCTACACTATAGCATAATTTTACATTTGCATGATCTATATTGTCTTATATAAATTCATTAAATTACTTAGTGGAATTCTATTCACACCCTATTTTAATTGTATAATAAGAAATGGCATAACATAGAAATAAATTTCCCTAATTCCTATTTCGCATTTATAATTAATTCTCTCCTGTTGCGCTTCGAGCAATATAAAATAAATTCTAATTATCTTTCTTGTAAGTTACAATAGTTCTACTAGGTACACAGTAAGCAATTATTCTTTATCTTTTATCTTTACGATAGCTATTCGAATAGTGAACGTCATTTACCTATGCTGTTGCCTAATACGACTTTTACTGATCCGTAGCATAATAAAATATTGCTTTTATCCTATTAATCTGGTATATTTCTTGCTTGGATAATGAGCTCTCAATATTCCATAACATTACGTAGTCGAATCATTAATTTATTGATATCATGATGCTGTATACTGCTAATACATCTTCTTTGTTTAACCTAAATAATTAAAAACATGGAAATATTGCACGGAGGTGATTTAGCTTTAGGCAGAATTTTATAAGTAGTACATTTGTTGTTTTACGACTGTATTTGCTTTTATGGACTGCTTCAAATCGAAATTTATGACTCGGAAATTAAGATTACTACAAGTAAAAAGTAAGAGTATTCTATTGGATTTATCATTCCCAATATCTACCTGCAATACGACTCTTAACACTGACAATGTCCTTATTACACAATTATCAAAGCAGCCACTGTTTACAAAATCTAAATTTTATACCGCCTACTGTAATAATTTTACCATTCCTTAGCAATTTTACGAATTACAGTTTAGGGACAGAGTTTATTTTTGCAAAAGAATTTTATTACTTTACATTAGTAATGACGCATTAACGTAACTGGATAAATAATGTTGATACGAAACGACTAAATTAAGGTAATCGTAACTTAAATTATTGTACTAAAGATATGCTGAGATTAGGATAATGACTAAGTAAGCAGTTTTTAGAGGTATCAATCGTTGAATATGGTAGTTTTTAATTGCATCATTGATATTTTTGATAGCTCCTGTTTATAGCCAACTCGACATGATGATAGTAGCTGATGTCAAATACTGTCATTAAAGATTGATATCTCAATAGTAAGATGTACGTCCGTCAACCGCGTGAAATATTATTTTTAGAATCGTCCCTTAGAGTAAGATTTATTAATATAATGTCTCCAGAATACAACAAAAAGCATAATCTCTTGTAAAATATTGATATTGTGCCTATATAATGGGAAGTATTGCTTTGTATGGAAAATTTTTAGTCGTAGTGGCGTTTTGAAAAGGTGAGGAATAGATTCTTTCATAATGACTTTAGAATCAAGATCTTATACTATGGGAATGGTAAAGTTATAATATCGAACTATTGAAGTAAAAACTACAGAAATTTCTTTATATACGAGTAGTCTGTAGCTCCGACAGTATTTTATAGAAATACATGATATTGAGCAAGCTAGATTCATTCCGGCAGAGAGGTATTCTAAATATTATTGATGATGTAGCCAACAAAATTGTAGATATTGGATACTGTGAATCATGTACGCAAGGTATTTATTTACTTGATCAATTGCCATGAGAGAATAGTTTAAATTGCAACCCAACTTCATCATCTATAATCACTGCAATAGTATATTACAGCAGCTACTTTCTTATACGACTATATCCCTAAACGAAGTATGCTACAAATAAAAGCGTTAACAATATCAAACCATAATCCTTTTACTCACCCGAAGCGATCTAAATCGCATTCAAATACATCTACTTTTAATACTAATTAGTAAACTTATCTAAGAGTACTGAATCACAAAATCCTTGATCAGTGAAATAATGCCTTAAAAGTATTTGTACTGCGGCTTTTTAACCTCAATCGATTGTTATTTGTTAATCAATAATTAATTTTTAAATAATCATATACCAGAAATTTGATTGTTTCATTATTTAAAATTCATAGCTTCAGAATTTTTGTACTATAGTGCAAAAATTTTATCAGGAACATAAACCACTGGATGGCGCTTTTGAATATCTGCTGGCTGTAATGGAATTAATATTGCGATACAATAGTAGAGGTAGAAATGAATAAAGATACATAAAGACTAAAAATCATAGTTATTTTAACCTCTATTAAATTCTTGAAAGCATGTTCTTACACACTGTATTATTATTTGCAGGTAGAGTTAATATACATATTTTTTAGATAGGCTGCCATATACTAAGGCATAATAACATGACGGCCAAATCTATGCGCGCAATAATAATTGCAGTGTATTATAGTGAAACTTTACCCGAAATATTGTACTTATAGTTTTGTCCGTAAATTCTATTAGGGTAGAATAACTACGAGATAGCTTTACTTTTCTTCTGATTGCATGCCAATTACTCAAAATGTAGGCATTATAATTGCACAGTAACACATTTTATAACGCGCCTAACATACATATCTTTACGTAGTATGTATCATCTTTAGTCAGAATTGATTAATCAACGTTTTGATCACTGCATTACATTTCTTATGAAATGACTTGATTGGTGTTTTAGGCATAATGAATGCACACACCTTCAAAGGAAGGTTTAAATCAATACCAAATCTAGAATGTAGGTTGTTGTTAGTCTCACAGCATTCATGCTCAATGTAAGTATGTTATTATGATAGGGTTCTTTAAAGTACGAGTACTAAATTATACCTTAATTTGTTAGGCTAGCATTAAAAGATAATCTTTTATAAAAATCTAGCTTCAATTTGATTAAATTTGCAAATAGTTAGCTAAACTTAGTAAAACACTAATCCTATCTCACGGCAATTATGACTGATACATATATAGTCAGTACTTCAGAGAGTTATTAAACTGCTATGTAAGACACGTTTGGTGGTCTGCTCTGATAGAAAGTTTGTGTGTTTGTGCTTGAGTACATATGTGCACATTAACGTTTTCTTTATCACTGTTACAATTAATTTTAAGTAATTGAGCTAATTTGTCTGTTTACATAAAGTGTTACTACTACTTTTTATTTGTTTCATAGTTTTCGGCAAGATTTATACTATCAAAGTACAGGCACGCTTGTTAAAGTTCCTCCTCAGTTTTAACCGTAAAACGTAGACTTGGTCTGATTTAATCGTTCTGCCTTTAAGCAGTTATGCAACGTCAAAATTTTGCATTAGTAGTAGTGATTCAGTAAATCCACTTAGATGACCCTTTCTAAGTAACTGTTTTCGATATTTTTTGAACTTCTTAGATATAGAAAAATTCATCCACCTGAAGAGTATTCAGTTCAAGCACTATGCCTAGTACTGTAAATATCATCTAGTTAAGTCAATGGTTATGTATGACATGAAGTTATACAATTCTCTAACTATCTTAACCATTATAATTGTCGGATTATGCCAGTGCGAAGGGATCTATCAGGCTTTGAAAGTCAGCAAAGTTGTGAGGGCTCCGACCACTAGCAAATATACGGGAATACTATAATCAGCTCAGAGTAAAGAATAATGAAAAATGATAGACAGGATTGCAATCAACGCCTAATTGTTATACTATAAAGAATAGGATAGGCTGTATACTGAGCATATCGCTATGATCAGGAATGAACATAACCATGGCAATGTACGAAAGAAAGGCTATTGATACTCTTTTTTTAACTGCTCTCATAAACTGCGATACTACCTATTTTAACGACTATTTTTGTCTATATATAACATGCATTTAATCAAAGCTAGAGCATCCAACACTACTATGCTACCTATCGTGAGTAATCAAACAGGATATCCATTCCTTCCTTAATCAATGTCTAGCCAGCTTGAAGGACTATAGCAGACCAGGAGATAACGATCGTTACAACTTTTGCAACATTTCTGCTGAAGTTGAGTTAAAAGTGCAGCTGGTCAATTTTCTTAGAAAAGGATTTTCTCTCTAATAGGATAATCTTTCCGGATCATAAACTGAGAGTCAACTTGTTGCACTATTTCGATTAAGTCTTTATCTAGTGATTGTGATCTTCACTTCGATATTACTACTACAGTATTTTATTAGTCTTAACTCACTCCAATACGCACGGTACCAATTTTACGGGCTCAAACTTAAACGTTTTCTTTATGTATACTTGTAGTGATGCACTTATATTTGATTATACGGATAGCTATATTTGATATAGTTAGGTTGCATTGAATAGATATTGTCGTGAAGCTAATATTAAATGATTACTAACTACTATATTAGAAATTGTTGATGACTAATAGTAGCCAGTTGACTAATTATGGTACAAGATTTATGTAGCTAGAAACACTATAGTTGTTAAGATGCCCTTCGGAGAAAGGGCCTAGGCGTTAATAGAAGAGTAGTGACATCTTAAGTAGAATGATTTAGATGGTAGAAACTAATGATGCACTATTAGAGAAAATTATTTTGTTGGATGACTCATGTCTGATTGTAGATTAATCAAGTGGTCATAAATGGATTTAACGAAATGTTTATAAGAACTGCAGAGATGAGCTCACAGAGGAGAAGAGACTTCACTTCGCTTTGAGCTCGGAATACTTTAGATTTCAGACTAGATTCTTCTACTAATTAATTATTGCTCTACTATTCCTAAAACCTTTTAATAAAAGCCTTATAGAAAATACCATTTAACTAACATAGTAACTATGAGACGCATTTATTTCATTGCTGTAGCTCTGCAACGCCTAATTCCTTACATTTCAGTCCGGTAGTATCCTGTCTTTCACCGTATTCCATCTATTTAAGATGTTTACAAGCGCAAAACTTAATAGTATTAAGTTAATAACTCAGAAAATTTGTGCAATCGTGTTACGATGCGTAAGCTCGTCCTAATTATTGAGTAATATTAAATATTGTTTGTATAGGAGTTTCTGACGAGACTATAAAAGGCTGGTGCCTGAAGATCCTTTTTAGTTAGTTAGTCGGTTGGATAGTCAATTAGTTTTTCAATTGATATTTAATTGTAAAGACTATAATCTTGGGTGCCGAGATTTCTTCAGTATTAAATGATAGTAAATCTCTGACTTTCTCGTCTACACTATTTGTGACGCTATAATTATACCATAGTATTCGGTCGTTGAAACTGAATTATTTGGTGATATAGCTAATCTCGCCTCTTTAAGTTAGTAAGTGGTGGTCTCCGCAAGGATTGGCGTGTGTAGACTACTTTGTCACTAGTGGTCTGTGACAAATGGTAATACTACTTTTGAATGATTAGATAAAGCTTGTCTGAAATGAAATTCTCTCATTTAAAAATTTATTTCTCATCTCCAAACGAGAAAGTTTTTGCTAAATATTAATAGTAAAAGTAATGATTTAAAACTGTAATCTTTGAGTAAAATATTACAGCTACCGGATGAGATGTTTGACGGTTTTCGTACGTCTACCTATATTTCCAATTGGAACGCTATATCAGTACGCCTTATAGTTCTACTAACTAAAGTCGATTTCAAGGATCTGACTAACAATGAAATTCTGTTTTAACTACTGTATGTGCAAGATTCTAGTAGTCCATGGTGTAAATGTACTTAATGGTTAATGCGCTTACGCTACTTTTATTTACAAACTAAATATTTATGTGCAAGTATCAGAGGCTGTGTATTCGAATAGTTTTATGTTATAACGGTACGTTTGCGCAAGTGTTTTTATTATTAATTAATTAATATGCAAAATCATCAACAAACATTCAGACGGACGCAAGGAAATTTGAAGAGTAAAGTATTAGCAAGCTGCAGTGTATCAAAGTTTCAAGAGCTTATCCCTTCATCTCGTCTTATTTAGTTGCTGTTTATCTATTAATTGAAGGAAGCTAACGAGAACCAAATGATATATCATTTTGCGATTGAATAATTTCTGCCGTAAATGGTTACCCTGCTACTGTTGATCATAATATTATACATCACTTTGCAAGCTAGAATTTATTCAAGAAAAGTTACGATTCAATCAACTGATGGCGTTTAGGCTAGAAATGAGTATAATGACATGGTTTTCCATCGCTATTGCAATAATTACTGCATATATAATTAAGCAAATGGTATTCAAATTATTATCACCGTTAAACAAAGTGAGTCCTGTAAGATACGTTAAAAATGTTATGTTCTAATGGTGCCTGTTTTAGATCTAGTCTTACCACCGCTAATTACGTTATAACTATTGGTACAGCAATATTGCTAGTAATCCAACTATGTAACTGATTCTGAATCGTCATCAAACAATTTAAGTTAGAGGCATTAAATCGCTATTTGCCTGTAGTACGCGGTTTAGGTTAACTTTTACTTTTCATCATTTGTGTTGTTGATGAATAGTAAATAATATTTTAAATGAAATCAGAATCTAGCTTAGAAATTAATAACAGTTAAATTTATTTTCTCTACGGTAATAATTAAAATGTCCGAGAGTTACTGCTCATTGCTACTATCTGATCCTACCTCTGTAAGTTGTAATTATGGTTATGATTGTATGCACGATAAGTTATAACAACGGTAATTAAAGGCAGCAGCATCATATCTTACAATACAGAGTGGGTGATTTAAAGAAAATCACCATTCAACGTATCATTTTGCTACTTCTATTTAGATTCCTGGCCCTTCAACTTGGTCGCCTTTGGGGCATTTACCTATAATTGTCAAGGAGGCAGTTGGTGACCCTTTTATACAGTTCGTATTATCATAACCAAATATCCATCAAATCAATATTTCCAGAATTATTCAATATTCGTCTGAAAGTTTCATGCGCTTAATTAATCTAAGTCATTATCTTAAACAATTTATCATAGCAAAAAACTTTGAAACTTATAAACGAATTAGCAATTGTGAAGTAAATTGCTTCAGATTTATTGACTAGTAGTCATTATAAAGGTACTTAAGCCTTGATATATGAAATCTATTCTATTAAAAACGTTTGACTATTTTTACATTTCGCTGCTTTAAAGATATTGATCGAGACTTTTACCCAATGCAACAAATACTGTAATTTCCTTACTTTTTATTCAGATGGTTTGAACAATATGGAGGTATGATTCGTTATAGCTTTCCAGTCTATGATCAACAGATTGCAGTGATTGATCCAGAATGTATTAAACACATTCTCTTCGCGCAATGCACTAAATACCATAAACCTCTACTTACAAAAAAGTAAGTTATAAGATTGACTATTACGAAAGCCATTTAGTAAAATGGATTGAATTTGTCGTATTAATACTGGTAGTGTAATTCTGCTGTAAGACTTTAATATTTGGTCTTGATTGATCTTTTTTCCAAATTGAACGAAGAATCTCTATAGATGTTCTTGGTGAAGGACTAGTTTTACTAGAAGGTCAGAAACATGCTAAAGCTCGCAAAATTATAAATCCAGCCTTTAACTACGGTAAAATTAAAGGTAACTAACTGTCGTTATGCCAAATGCTACATAGCTGAATACTCTTTAAGTGGTTTCTTATTTGATCGCTTATTTGAAAGCAATTTGGTGCTTTTACGTCACTTATTGCAAAATAGATATTATGTAGCATAATTCTTTTCTTTCAATTCCAAGAGCGATAAACTAGTGCATATAAAACTATACTCCAGCATCCGTCTAATTTCTTAATCTTATTTATACATCCTGACTCGATGGAAGGCCATTTAATTTGTCATGTTATTGCTATATCGCATATTAGCGCTATTACCTGTTTTTCAAAATTTTGGCCAATCTCTGGTAAATTACTGGCAAAATGAAATTGACGAACGCGGTAGTCAGAGCGCTATATTAGATGTACAGAAAGACTTAATTCGAACCACACTTGATATTATATGCAAGTGCGCTTTTGATTATGACTGTCATGCTTTAACCGACGCGAATAATCAAGTTACTCATGCTTTTACAAAGGTTTTAGGAGGACTTTCTTTAAGGTAAGCAATATGTATACATAAGTTTGTAATACATTACTCAGCAGAACTACAATTATTTAGGCCGGTAACGTTTTCTAGAACTGAGTCGGTCTCATAGTTGATGGCCTACCTGCTTAATTATTTTATTAATGGCGACATTTAAACTTTTTCAGCTGGACATTCTTCATTCCGGGTTTAAAATATTTGCCCACATCGGGAAACTTAGAAGTAAAGCGTGCTTTATCAATAACGCATAATATAGTAAGGAAAGTTATTGACGACAAATTGAAGAAGGGGATTACAGGTTCCAAAGGAATTTACATTTAATTGAATAAAAAATTGCTAAATTATTTTATATTATTATTAAAATGGGATGTTTTTAATTAATTAAAGAGATTACTAGTAAAGTCAAACTCAAATTATAGTTAAACACGATCTAATTATTATAGGAGAAAATTGTTTGCTAGATATTTTATTATCACAACAAGATGGAGAAAATAATGTTACCTTTACGAGCAAAGAATTACAAGATCATATTATGACATTTATGTCTGCTGGTCATGAGGTTAAGACAATTGTATAATAAAAAAATGGCTATTATTAATCGTAACAGAATTACTAAGCAAATTAACGTAAGTTGCATTTCTTTAATATCTGATCGGTGATAAATACATTCTATCAAGACTACAAGTGTAGCGTTGGCTTGGACGTTGTATGCATTAGCTAATAACCCTGCAGTTCAAGTTAAAGCGCGACAGGAAATTTTCAAGGTTGTACAGACAGGCGATAACATCACATGGGATACTTTTGATAAACTACCATATCTTGATAATGTTATCAAAGAGTCACTTAGGTAAAGAATCAATTATTTATGAAATTTTGAATATGTTTTCTAAAATACTCATACTAAAGCAAGAAGTATAACTATGAAATAAATTCTATACATGATTATAATTATTACTTATACTAGTCTGACATTCCTTTGGCTTGCTACTTGATCTGTAGACTATATCCGCCAGTGCCATTGATTTTTCGACAAGCGATAGCTGACGATAAGATAGGAGAATATTTCATTCCCAAAGGATCTATAATTACAATTATACCACCTTATAGGTACGGTAACTTTAACGTGGATACTATAACTAGTATTATAAATTGTTTTAGAAAGTAATGTCGATGTTGCAGCTACGCTCCTAACTTATACGTTCATAAATGTCGAATTTTCTATATTGTGCAATAATAATGAGATTAAAAAATAAGCGTAAAGATAGAAGTAGCCTTGACGCATACGAATAAATTGATATCTCGGTGAAAATATTACAGTGCTTCAAGTTAATGTAATAGCAAGTTTGAAAATTTGAAACTGTTTATATTCAAACTATTTTTAGGTTTCCTAGTTATTTTCAAGAACCCTTAAAGTTTGATCCAGATAGATGGGATAACTCAGCAAAGAATACTAGTCCCTACGCTTATTTGCCATTTCTTAGAGGACCACGAACTTGTATTGGTTCGAAATTTGCTACAACCGAAATGAAATGCTTGCTGTCTCTACTATTAAATAATTTCTTGTTCAAACCTTATCCAAAACAAGCGGTTGAAAGAAAATACCAGTTTACAATGAAACCAGATCCTGCTTTGAAACTTATCGTCTCACCGGTGTTGCTATGATAATTATCGAATAATATTTCATTTTAAATGTAGTTTTAATTGAGTGCTATTTAGCACGTTTCTTGAAATTTGAATTGAAATATTTAGGCGATGAAATTTGCGGTATATATGTTAACGGCAATTTGCGAAATCAGGCATTTTGCAAATGCCTAAGGTCATTTCATGTTATACGCGTATATATATAGAATGTAATTTATGACCGGCATTCACATCAAGGTGTTCATTTTCTAAGATAAGATTGAATATTCTAATTGGTGATCGCTGCTAATTTATATTACTGGTGATTAGTTTAATTTTCCTCGTCTAAAAATACACGTTAAAGAATACAGCAGAGATAGAAAAGATATTGTCAGTTTCAAAAATATATTTTTTACTAGACTCTTGGAAATTTATTCATTTTAGGGTACAATTGATAAATAACGCCTTGTGAACTAGGCTATGTCACGTTAAATAAGATTTGTAATAGCAAAGTACCGCAATATGCATCCTATAAATTAAGCTACTATCCTCCATTTTCTATTACATAGTGCGATAAATATTAGATTCAGTGAGTATTAAAGTCTAAAATCTACTCGCAATACATTCTGTACTGTATCTCGTCCAGTACTGTACATACTGTATCATTTCACTGCCAGTTTTAATTGAAAAATTGAAAAATAGCTTGAGAATCTATAGCTTCAATTTAGCGTATAAAAACGTATAAAATTACGTGCTAATCATCAATCAGCATGTCACAACCTAGGTAGTGACATGGGAAGATAATATCAAATGAGGATACTGTACCTTCGCTGATCTAGTAGAATTGTCTCACAACTTAATATTAAGTAGAATTACTTTTCATACATTGGCCACTGTACTGGTATAATTGGTAGTTCGGTACTGCACTACCTTTTATCCTACAGATAACTTTATGATCAACGCGTATATTTGCTGGTATAATGCTACTATACTGTTGGCTTTTAACTCAATTTACAGTACTGTAAATCGGCTACTCAAACTCCCATTTTTATTTATAAACGATCCCTTTATAGTATCGAGATTATTTTAATCATTTGATGAATAAGTTAATCAATGTTTTCGATCAGAATAACAATTTAATAATATCTCTGAAAAACCAATTAATAAACTAAAAAGTTATTTATTAATTAATATTCTGCAACAAGCCCGATAGTTAACACATATTCATAATTATTAATATATCTATGCATAAAACATAATTTAATAGCTTAAATAGTTAAAGAGCTGTATGTATTGAGTTTGCAATCGTCATACAACAATTGTGAATATCTGAGTTTCAAAAATTGTAAAGGTTGCAATGTCCAATCTGGTACTACTTTATACACTGTTACTCAATGTTTTAATAATTTATTCAATTTGAATAACAGTGTTATGAGTAGTTATAGCATAATAAATACTGTACCAAATAATTATCTAACTTAGTGTATGAGCCAACCTATTTGGCTTTAAGCTAAGGAGTAAAGTAGTCTTGAGTAATAAAAATTTTAGGCCTAAAGTAAGTTTATTTTTATCAATGATTTGCCAATTCTTGAACTAATTCATCTACATGTGTCTTATCGTCGACACTTGCTGCTCGATTAAGTATGACTTGCAATACACCAGGAATGGGTATTCTGTTATTGCTGTCGATGATATCAAACGTATTATCAATCATAGCTGATAATCCACGAGAAGATTTGTCGCAATATAGATCATCTAGGGATCGATCATAGATGAATAGAAAAGTATAAAAGTCCGTCAAGGCATCTGGTTTATTGTCCAATTCACAATATCGTTTTGGATCTTTAAAGATTTCCTTATATTCATGAACTTGTGGACTAAGCTGCAAGTATGCAGTGTACGGTATATCAAAGCAAGACAGGCCTAAGTTGTCGCATAAATTCGTTACAGAAGTATGGACCGATAAATCAAGGCATTCTTTAGGCGTCGGAATTAATGATTTAGTTTTACCTGTAGCATAGTTGAATAACGAAACATGCGTATTCGGTTCAAGACAACTGTGTGATAAAACTGCGATACCATCGCTTGATAGTAAATCAGAACAGATTTTATCTAGAAGTTCTTTAAAGCGAGCCTGATCATGATGCGATGATATAAAATAATAACCACACTGCAATAGATATACTAACTTAAAGTCTTTTACACAATGATCTCCAGTTTGTGAGCCAAGAAGTAATCTCGTAATATCACATTTCATAACATCCGCATGCAAGACACGATAGTTATTTAACGGAATTATTTTAGCTTGCATGGCCTTGTACAAATTATCTCCAGCTATTCCATTGGTAGAATTCAGTTTTTCGCAATCCTGCTTATGATCAACACTGTCGTTGTCAGTCAATCCAGTATAATCAGGATTACTATCGACAGCGATTAAATCGATACCGGATTGAAATTGGATATTTCGTAGATATTTTACAATTCTATCCCCAGCTCCACAACAAATGTCAGCTATACGAATAGGATCGTCCTGATGACAATTTACTAATCCTTTCTCTTTTAAACCGTTGATTAAGGCTTGATGTAACCGGGCTTCTATTTCTATTTCATTACTTGCATTTTTATAGGCGCTAAACGCTCTGTTGTATTCGAATACATGCGTTTTTATTGTCGTTTTTTCCATCTTGCTTAAGAGACTTCTCTCCGTAGAACTTTTACCGTATGTCAGTGAGAACATAGCAGTACGATTAGATTTACTTATCGCAGTCTATCACACATAAGGGTACCATATGCTGGTTGTAGCAATACCTAGCGGTACTCCAAGTCCAACCCATAGACCCTCTAGCATTCGAGAAAAGTAATAAGATAACATTGTACTGTATTTTATACTATCATATGTATACCGTGCCTAAATTGCAAATAATTTAGTAGTCCATGACTGTACCATATGCATGGTTTTACTAGATATTTCTGCAGATAATGTAAAACATCAAGTAAAAATTGGAAGGGTCTAGAGTACACTGCACAGTACAACTGTAGTTAACAATAAGGCAATCCGAGCTATATTACTGCGATCCTGTTTACTGATCTTCTTGGCGTGTGCTAAGAAACATCGCAGACTGGTTGTGACGAGCTAAGATATTTCCTCTAAACTTAGAAATTTTACTTTTAACCTTAACATCTTTGCAGGTGTTCGATAGAATCTAGTTAAACGAGTTGGCAATAATTATCTTTGTCTATCGAATCCTAAATTAAGGATTACTAATACATAAATTATTAACCACTAGAGTTACAATTAAGGAGACCGTGAACATTTCTGAGATACAAAACATACGACTATAAACATAGAAATAAAATACACATCACGAAGATTACATTCATAACTTTAGTATTGTGAGCAAGTAGTATGAAGCATGCCGCTTAGGGTGCAAGTTATGCACCCTTGCCTTTCGTAACTTCTCTCTCCAAAGGGAATGAAATGAAGCATTTTCGTGAGTTACCCAAAAATTCGTGTTAACTGAAAATAAAATTTCCTTTAACTTAGTGGCTAATACATTCCATAATAAATATATAAACAAAAAAATGAATCACTTTCGAATTCTTACCAATTTGATGCTATTTCATTCAATTAATTCATACCCATTTATTAGTTACAAGATGTTGAACTGTAACTTTGGTGGAGTCGGTCTCGCCACAGCACCGAACGAATCATATACTACATACTACGTAGTAGGCCCGAGCCCCTTCTACTTTGCGTGTCGTATACCGTTTGTATTACTATGTTCTGGTACCTTTTATATATCATTAAAGTCTAATTAAGGAGGACTACTACGATTATTATACCGCCCTGTAAAGTGCTGGTATAAAAACCCTTAAAGTTTGATCCAGATAGATGGGATAACTCAGCAAAGAATACTAGTCCCTACGCTTATTTGCCATTTCTTAGAGGACCACGAACTTGTATTGGTTCGAAATTTGCTACAACCGAAATGAAATGCTTGCTGTCTCTACTATTCAATATTTCTTATTTAAACCTTATCCAAATCAAGCGGTTGAAAGAAAATATCAATTTACAATGAGACCAGATCCTGCTTTGAAACTTATCGTCTCACCAGTGTTGCTATGATAATTATCGAATAATATTTCATTTTAAATGTAGTTTTAATTGAGTGCTATTTAGCACGTTTCTTGAAATTTGAATTGAAATATTTAGGCGACGAAATTTGCGGTATATATATACGCGTCTATATAGAGAATATAATTTATGACCGGCATTCACATCAAGGTGTTCATTTTCTAAGATAAGGTTGAATATTCTAATTGGTGATCGCTGCTAATTTAATTACTGGTGATTAGTTTAATTTTCCTCCTACTACTTTTTACACTGTTACTCGGTGTTTTTAAAAATGTTTAATTTGAATAACAGTGTTATGAGTAGTTATAGATACTGTACCAAATAATTATCTAACTTAGTGTATGAGCCAACCTATTTGGCTTTAAGCTAAGGAGTAAAGTAGTCTTGAGTAGTGAAAACTTCAGATCTAAAGTAAGTTTGTTCTTGTCATTGACTTGCCAATTTTTGAACTAATTCATCTACATGTATCTTATCGTCGACACTTGCTGCTCGATTAAGTATGACTTGCAATACACCAGGAATGGGTATTCTGTTATTGCTGTCGATGATATCAAACGTATTATCAATCATAGCTGATAATCCACGAGAAGATTTGTCGCAATATAGATCATCTAGGGATCGATTATACGTGAATAGAAAAGTGTAAAAGTCCGCCAAGGCATCTGGTTTATTGTCCAATTCACAATATCGTTTTGGATCTTTAAAGATTTCCTTATATTCATGAACTTGTGGACTAAGCTGCAAGTATGCAGTGTACGGTATATCAAAGCAAGACAGGCCTAAGTTGTCGCATAAATTCGTTACAGAAGTATGGACCGATAAATCAAGGCATTCTTTAGGCGTCGGAATTAATGATTTAGTTTTACCTGTAGCATAGTTGAATAACGAAACATTCGTATTCGGTTTAAGGCGACAGTGTGATAAAACTGCGACACCATCGCTTGATAGTAAATCAGAACAGATTTTATCTAGAAGTTCTTTAAAGCGAGCCTGATCATGATGCGATGATATAAAATAATAACCACACTGCAATAGATATACTAACTTAAAGTCTTTTATACAACGATCTCCAGTTTGTGAGCCACGAAGTAATCTCGTAATATCACATTTCATAACATCCGCATGCAAGACACGATAGTTATTTAACGGAATTATTTTAGCTTGCATGGCCTTGTACAAATTATCTCCAGCTATTCCATTGGTAGAATTCAGTTTTTCGCAATCTTGTTTATGATCAATACTGTCGTTGTCAGTCAATCCAGTATAATCAGGGTTACTATCGACAGCGATTAAATCGATACCGGATTGAAATTGGATATTTCGTAGATATTTTATAATTCTATCCCCAGCTCCACAGCAAATGTCAGCTACACGAATAGGATCGTCCTGATCACAATTTACTAATCCTTTCTCTTTTAAACCGTTGATTAAGGCTTGATGTAATAGGGCTTCTGTTTGTGGTTGATTACTTGCATCTTTAAAAGCGCTAAACGCTTTGCTGTATTCGAATACATGCGTTTTTATTGTTGTCTTTTCCATCCCGTATAAGGTACTTTCTTCTCCAGAATTTTTACTCTTTGTCAGTCAGATGTGGGAAAATTCGAAAACTGGCGTATTCTATTGGATGGACTACTCAATTCAAATTAAATGAATAATATTATTTTACACAGCACTGCTCTCTACCAGTAGTGACGAATCTCACGATTGTGGTAGTGGGCGTTTAATTGAAGCAGACTCGCTCGCTAAACAGTAGAGTACTGTACACAATACTGAACGCGAATAACTTCGATGGCAAGATGGCGTCGAAAATTGAAAGTTGCAATTTGTTACCACTCCGAATCAAAATCGATACTTTGGGCTTGATTTAGCCTCAACACTACACAGCTATTCGAAAATGAAAGTTGCAATTTGTTACCACTCCGATTCAAAATCGATACTTTGGGCTTGATTTAGCCTCAACACTACACAGCTATTCGAAAATTGAAAGTTGCAATTTGTTACCACTCCGATTCAAAATCGATACTTTGGGCTTGATTTAGCCTCAACAGTACACAGCTATTCGAAAATTGAAAGTTGCAATTTGTTACCACTCCGATTCAAAATCGATACTTTGGGCTTGATTTAGCCTCAACAGTACACAGCTTATTTTCCTTAGTGCCACCCAAGTTCATCGCGATGTACTGTATACTACTGAGTCTAGATCGTAACGGTTCGATCCGAACCGAACCGAACCTTCTCAGGTCTAGACTACTGACCACGGCAAATACTGTACAGTAAGTATACTGTACTGTACCAGTGTGCAGTTCTGGATTTGGGTCTGGATCACACAACGGAAAGAGAGTGCGTAGTTACTCGCAGACGGGAACGTGCTTCCGCTGTAGAAAATGTCTTGCTGCCATCCACTTAGGCTAAGTCTATGTTCATATTGCTATACGGTATGGGGCCAGAAAGTGAATGAATACCTTTATTGTACTGTACTAATCGATGGTTTGTTGTTTGCTTGCAGAATGAAAATAAAATAAAGTCTTATTTGCACTAACAGTACTCATTGCAGATGCAATATTGGAGTTGCCCACTATACACGCTTTCTACCCAATCGTATTCTTAGCGATCAGGCATGAGTAATTACTATACTGTAGAATTGGCAACTTGAACGAGGGCTATTGCGCACGCTCTTTCCTTCCGTTCCCGATTTGACTCCATGCTTACTTCGACAAGCTTTCCCATGGACAGTACTCAGTACTGTAAAGTACCGTACTGTACTGTAAACTGTACACTGTACAAGCGGTCCATGCGATTGCGTCACTCCTTGGCTTGACTTTGAAAATATTGGCAATGGCAAAACAACGCTGGAATTCAATCATTTTGATGTTATGATGGCGTTTCCTCAAGAGATATTAACGTGGATTTCCATTGCCATTGCTATTGGCATTGCTTACGTTGTTAAGCAGATTATTTCCAATTTATTATCACCTTTAAACAAAGTAAGTAGCCTACTGTATTTTGAATGATGAGCAGATACAATTGCTTTGCAATAGCACCTCCATGATGAAACAATCGTGATGGATTCAACATTGACGTATAGTGACCACATTGGAGATATATTGCAGGCTATAGGATCATGATGGATGTCTATCGACATGATCAATAGCTAACCTTATATATGATTCAATCCTTATTAAGCTTGCTATGGTATTCTAGAATATTGGTAATGTTGTATTGCTTTAGTAAACTATTCCCTTCTTGTATACGTGCGAAATTGCTACACGATGAAGGATTGCAATGTCCTTCATAAGTGCTGTGGATCGTCTTGAAGAATTAGCCTTCTTTGACCATACTTTCTATATCATTTATCGTAGATTCCTGGTCCACCAACATGGTCACCTTTGGGACATTTACCTAAATTGATAAACGAGCCGCCAGGCGATCCATATATACAGTTCGTAAATAGGCAATAATTGATAGTGTAGAAGTTTCATGCTCGTAGATTAAGTCTATACTGCCTGTTGAACGTGATGGTACAGTACATACTGTACATGAAAAATCGAATGAATTGATCAAGATCGACGTATAATTAATAAATATGTGTATTATGTAGCTGTTCCTGACGTTTTTTTTTTTCCATTTTACTTACTTTACAAGCTATATCAAAGCTATTACACCTTCAATTAGTGAAAGTCAACACACTTGAATACGTTCATAAAATAAAATTAATATAAACGTATATATACTGTACAGTAATTGCATTCATGACGTAATGGTCACAGTTCCTTACCTGAGCTAAAACGTTCTTAAATTGTATTAGATGGAACCAACAATACGGAGGCATCATTCGTTATAGTTTTCCTATGTATAGCCAACGAATCGCGATAATCGATCCCGAGTATACCAAACATATTCTTGTTACGCATTGTAGTAAATACCGAAAGCCTACCCAGACCAGAAGGTTAGTTCAAAGAAACAGGCTTGTTACGCTCGTTATACAAAAAGACACAGCGTAGAAACTAAGATTTGATTCTAAGGCTTCGAATGATTTCATTCTAGTTTATTAATCGGTATCATTGGGGATGGACTCATTTTACTAGAAGGCCAAGAACATGCTAGAGCTCGTAAGATTATTAATCCGACGTTTAAATATAGTAAAATTAAAGGTAAGAGGTCACCCAGTATCGTATAATAATTGTTTGTCATGCATAGATATATTATTATTTTACATAGTGGTTACTTCGACAGTAGCTTGTAAATTGAATTTTTTTATGCAATGTGTGCTTATAATAATACTTTCACTCACAACACAACACACATACATGATACGTGAACTTTACTTGGTATATTTAGGGCTTCGGCCTGGGCTGTGCTATATCACATAGAAATTCTCATACAATAAATAAATAAATATTAATTATTATATACTTGTTCCAGTAAATACTCATCTAATTGAACTAATAACTATAATTACTTCTTTTTACAATACTCTACTGATCAATAGTAAAAAGTGAAAATGTAGCGAAATATCACAAGCAAGGGTTCCACTAGTATAGATAAATGCATAATTGGGAAGGATCACTAGGGTCCTTTCCACTCACTGAGAAATCCTTACGCTTTAATCTTCTTTTAAATTACTCAATGACTATATATAGTATTAGATCAAATATCATATGAAACATTCTACCACACCCTATCTTATATATAGTTACTAACTCATTTCCTATAAAGATCAAACGATTGAAATTATCTTGTTTGTCATACTACTATAGAATTGGTTCCCACTTTTCAAAGCTTTGCCGAAGTTTTAGTAAATTATTGGCAAAATGAAATTGACGAGCATGGTGGTTCCAAGGCTACATTAGATGTTCACAAAGATTTATCTCGAATCACGCTAGATGCAATATGTAAATCTGCATTCGACTATGACTGCAATGCTTTAACAGACAAAAATAATGAGGTATCAGTTGCTTTTGCCAAGGTCCTTGGAGGCCTTACTTTAAAGTAAGTTTTAGATAGGTATATACTACAAAGTTAGTTCATAATATCGGATATTGCTAGGGCAAGGAATTTACTCAGTTTGTCAGTACTGAAAGATATTAGTGTATAGTGTGCCTTTCATACCTTATAGTGCATTTCGTTCTAATTTTTTCCTATTTATTATTTTAATTAACCTTTATAGCTGGACATACTTTATACCAGGTTTTAAATATTTACCTACTCCTAGTAACATTGAAGGAAAGCGTGCCTTGTCTATTTGTCATGGTACTGTCAGGAAAGTAATTGACGAAAAGTTAAAAAAAGAAAATATCGGTAAAGGGACAACTTTATTATCTTAATTATATAATTATACGTTACATTAAAGCGTTGAAGATGAAAGAGATGTAAAGTGAAGAATAATTGCCAATTATAAGTGCAAAAATGGGTTGAATATTACCGTAGGTGAAGAAAAGTGCTTGTTGGATATTTTATTATCGCTTAGAGATGAAGACAATAATGCTGGCTTTGCGCGTAATGAATTACAAGATCACGTTATGACATTTATGTCTGCTGGTCACGAAGTTAGTACAAATAAGTGTCATACGATGGCTATTACTTCATAATTTATATCATATCAATTGCATTGGTGTACTGTAAATTATGAAGGCAGAACTAACTAATATCCTTCAACGCATTATGCTGTGATCAATTCATTGCATTGTTTAGACTATAAGTGTAGCATTGGCTTGGACATTATATGCTTTGGCTACTAACCCTGCAGTTCAAGAGAAAGTTCGCCAAGAAATTTGTAAGGTTATACAACCAGGTGACAACATAACTTGGGATACGTTTGATGACTTGCCTTACCTTGACAACGTTATAAAAGAGTCACTTAGGTAATTAATATATAAGACTACAAATGTACATATTGCATGATCTATAAATACCTAAAAATTAATAATATGTATACGTAAATTGTTGGAAAGGAGATTATATTCTGAGACTATGGCTTTAAATCTTTATTATCATCTGTGTTTGATCCATAGGTTATATCCACCAGTACCAATGACTTTTCGACAGGCAATAGCTGACGATAAGATAGGAGAATATTTTATCCCGAAAGGAACTATGATTGCAATCATACCACCTTATAGGTAACTTAAAGATATCTTCGGCAGGGCATTATGACATAGTTATTGATTTAGCCTATAAAAGTTTCATAAATCATTTATTCTGTTATCGCATTTCTGACTTTTATGTTTTAAAGAAAAATCTACATTGAAGAATTAAATAACTTTACAAATTGACGTTGTAAATATTATTTCAAGTGGATTTAGCAGTTTTAAGCAGATCAATATTTATTTTCATTTATGATATAGGAATCCAAAGTATTATGATGAACCCTTACAGTTTGAACCAGACAGATGGAACAATTCAGCTAAGAATGCCAGTCCTTATGTATATTTACCGTTTCTTAGGGGGCCTCGAATTTGCATTGGCTCAAAATTTGCAACAACGGAAATAAAGTGCATCCTGTCTTCACTATTAAAGAATTTCTCTTTTCAACCTTATCCAGACCAACCAGTTGAAAGGAAGTTACAAGTTACAATGAGGCCTCATCCATCCTTGAAACTTATTGTTTCATCGTTGTTACCTTCATAATGATAAAATATCTACTTAATTGTACCATAATAACTAGCGACAAATCCAGAAATTTAAATTTTAGCTCGAATTGTTTACGTATAATATATGTACAGTATATTGAAAGTGCATTCAAATTTTCATACAATTTTATTTAAAGTTCGTGCTTATTGCAGCTATGAACTTCGGCTAATGTAAATCGTTGGCTAACAATACGTAATTCAATCTATGTGGATTTCTGATTATCTATAGAATATTAGATAACTCTTTGGTGTTGTCTGTTTTATATGATATTTATAATCCATTGGTTTTACATTTAAAAATCAAATAAAAACAACATAAAACTTCATATGAACTCAGTTAGCGTGATAATAGATGGGTAATGATCGAACAATATCATGCTTCTTGGTTCCCGTGGTTCATACGGGGAAAAAGTATGTCTGAATTAACTGTTGCTATCTTCTCCTAAATCAACATGAGGCACGAGGGTATTGTACTTATTTAGTAAATTACACTAGCATTATAGCAATTAGTCGATCTGTATAGCCGTTCTTTCCTGCCGTAAGATGCGATGTACTTGAGCTATAGAATGAGAAAGTAGATAAAAAACTACGATCATTTAGCTACAAAACTACAGCAAGTAAGAAGAGACACTTGATTTCTAAATTAATTATAATACCAAATTCCTTAACATAAAGAATATATAGAAGGTGCCCACAAAAGTTATTTATTTATTGACTAGTATTCATTGCTTGGTGTACGCAACATAAGTAGCAGGATATAGAATAGGGGTAAGAAATAATCGGCGATGGGTTGCAAAGAATCATAAAATGCAATGCCAAATGCTATTATTCCATCTACTGCTTAGTAGCGCAAGTACTATAATTGTTGAGGTAACTGTTATCACAGCTATCTTCCTGCTAGCAACCTCTATGTATATCATTTACAGTAAAATTTTCGTATAAATAAAGATTTAATTCAATAAATTTAGCTCTGGTAGAAACTACGCGCGCATTTGAAGGCTTCTCGTTTAATTGTCCTTACTTGTAAAACAATTTTTGAAAGTTATTCAAATTGCAGCATGTGTTCAATAATTTGTATTAGTAATTGCTTCTATTAATGATTCCACACTTGAAGATGGACATATGATCGGTTGACTTATCACATTGCAACTGGGCGATCTGAATAACTTCATATATAAAAAATTTACGTTTTTTGATTGTGATACAAATTATACTGTTAGCACTTTCGGTTAGATCTTAACGTAATTACATTTAAATATGCAATATACATGTAATTATTGATGAAACAGGAAAAATATACGAACTACCGTTTAAATAGGGAGTTGCATTTAGAAGTCAGAATACAATTGTATCCCTTTTGTATACAATAAAAATAATATTTTATGAGCTATAGTCTCTAGATCACTCAGTAACTTGACGTGTAAGGCGGATATGAACTTTAATGAGGACAAGTTACTATAAAGCGAGCGTAATTTATCTAAATAAGCTAGTGGAACAAGGTACGGAAATTATAATGATAGTAATTCTGGCTTGCATTTATTGTAGTAGGTGAAAATCCGCTAGTTGCAGTTAATACTGTAAAGCAGCATTACTAGAATTATTTACCGTCGGATATCAGTACGCGTAGTAGATGTCTTAGTAAAACTATTTTATTTATCTATAAACAAAAATAGACAGCTAATGAGTTCTCAGTAATTAAAATTTTTTAAGGAAATAATTGATACAAGCGAAAGATTTAATATTAAATGTTATTTTAAATGAGGTATAGAGTAGAATATGTTTTTGGTCGAAAGCATTAACAGCTTATGGATACACATTCACTAAAACTTTAATTTCCGAATTCGTTAAATAGGTTTTAAGTAAACGAATAGAAAATAAATAGTTATCATCAAGGTGACACTGGTGAAACGATAAGTTTCAAAGGCGGATATGGCCGCATTGTAATATGCAACTTTCTCTCAATCTGTTGGTTAGGATAAGGTTGGAAAGAAAAATTACTTAATAATAACGATAAGATACACTTCATTTCCGTTAGTGCAAATTTAGAGCCGATGCAAATTCGCGGCCCTCTAAGAAATGGCATGTATGCGTATGGACTGGTATTCTTGGCTGAGTTATCCCATCTATCCGGATTAAACTTTAAAGGTTCTTCAAAGTACTTTGAACTCCTAAATATAATATTCATGGTAGCAAAGAAATTTTTTAGTAACAGTCATGCTTCCAACATGTAGACAAGTATAGTTTTGACATTTGCCATTATTCAATTTGTAATATGCACGAAGATATTTATTTCAATATAAGCTTTGAATACAATGATAAAATAAAATTACATGAAGTTCTTTCACGTGTAAGAATAACTTGCTTTAAGCTCGCTTTACTCTTGCTACGCTTGAGTTACCTATGAGGTGCTAAAATTGCAATTGTAGTTCCTTTGGGGATAAAATATTTTCCTAACTTATCATCTGCTGTCGCTTCTCGAAAGGTCAGTGGCGCAGGTGGATATAGTCTAAAAATCAAATATAGATGGTTACTTAGAGAGTAAAAAGTACATAGAAGAAATAAGGAATTACTCAAAAGACTTTATTGTCAAAATATTAGCAATCAAAGACCGTTCAATAAACAATTTATAGATATTGTTATAGCAGATTAATAACCTAAGGGACTCTTTAATAACGTTCTCAAGGTATAGCAATTCGTCGAAAGTGCTCCATGTTATATTATCACTTGGTTGTATAACCTTACAAATTTCTTTACGCACTTTCTCTTGAAGTTCAGGGTTGCTAGCCAATGCATATAATGTCCAAGTTAATGCCACACTTGTAGTCTAGAACAGATATCATATTTATTATATTATAAAACTTTAAGGAACTCTCGTTAAGTAAAAGACTCCATAGCTCATTTTTTCAATTTAATAACGGCAGTATAATTGTATACTTCATAAATTGTAATCTTACGTTAAGCGACAGTCCTAACCTCATGACCAGCAGCCATAAAAGTCATAATTTGATCCTGTAATTCTTTACCAGTAAAGCTAGGATTATTTTCTTCATCTTTTAGCGAGAGCAAAATATCTAGCAAGCATTTTTCTTCATCTACAACAATATTTAACCATTTTTTAATAGTATTTATCTAAAATTATTAAACAATCATTATAATACTAACGTTTTAATATAACATTCAATTTCAGATTAAAATAATAAAATAGTTTGCATACCAATAGACCCCTTCTCTAATTTTTGGTCAATTACTTTCTTGACAGTACTATGACAAATAGATAAAGCACGACTTTTTTCTCTATTGCTAGATGTAGGTAAATATTTAAAGCCTGGTACCAAATATGTCCAACTAAAGAGTTTAAAATTAAAAATTGCTAGGTATTTAATGAACTTATTACTAAAATATGTGTAATACACGATACGTAAGGTAAATACAAATGCAAATACATTACGAGACCAACATTTTAGCAGACAATTTCTTCTTCAATTATTATTATGATATAACTTTCCAAGATACGCTTATCAAATACTTACTTTAAAGTAAGGCCTCCAATAATCTTCCTGAAGGCAACCGATACCTGATTGTTCTCATTTGTTAATGAATTACAATCGTAATCAAATGCACATTTGCATATGATATCTAGGGTGATTCGAGCAAAGTCTTGATGTACATTCAACGTAGCTTTTTGATCACCGCGCTCGTCGATTTCATTTTGCCAGTAATTTACCAAGAGTTGGGCAAAATTTTGAAATACTGGTGCCATCTCTGGTGTAACAAACAGAAAATTAGCCGATGCGATCTATTACAGGTAAGGAGATATTACACATGAGATAAGAAGTAGAATAGTATATTTCTATACGTTACTCAAATCTAATGTAATATGCAGCTACTGTCCAATTTAAGATTTTGAAATGAATAATATATTTTAGACATCTTTAACTCGCAATGACTAAGAGATAGCATCGAGTTGGTTTGCTGTTAAGTATCTACCCTAAAATAGATATTTTACCTTTAATTTTATTATATTTAAATGTTGGATTAATGATTTTCCGAACTTTAGCATGCTTTTGCCCTTCAAGCAAAAGCAATCCTTCACCAATAAGATCTCCTAAGAAACTGAAATGAAATCCTGAGAGTTATCACTATACTATCATGCTATTTTAATTTTGTATGATAATTTCTAAGCTGAATAAAAGACAAGATGCCGACAACAAGCATACAAAGTTATAACTTACGCCTTGGTGCGTAAAGGTTTACGATATTTAATACACTGCGTCACCAGTACATGCTTGATATACTCTGGATCAGTAATGGCGACCCGTTGGGAATAAATCGGAAAGCAGTAACGAACGATGCCCCCGTGTTGTTCGCTCCATCTACAAGTAAGATAAAAGAGAAAAGCTAATTTCAGCAAGTATTTAGTACTAGAGAGAAACGAAGCAACTACTTATTCTCATTCACAAATTTACGAAATTAGCATAAGACTCTTTGAATGTAGCTTGTATAGTAGACTAAACATTAACTTTACAATCATCTATGATTTTATAGAAGGATTGATAAATATATTTCTTGACAAAGGGAAATTGATGATGATATTCATAGGATATTATCTCAAGTAAGTAGAATAGATGTTGAGGTCACGTAAAAATACGATGTACACAAACTTGTATCTTGTTTTATATTTAGAAACTGTTGAATACTAACTGTAAATAAGGATCGCCAGGTGGTTCTTTCATAATAATGAGTAAATGCCCCAATGGCGACCATGTTGGTAGTCCAGGAATCTAAAACGATGATTTACGAGTTTATCATATCAACAAACGAGGTAAACGACTATCAATTTTTGACACCATCTATCGTAGATTATTCATTCAAGCCGACTCTAGACTCTTACAAGCAAGATCAACATTGTCCATGTTATGTCATACTTACTGCAAACATGCACAGAATCAAATGGCAAGGCGAGCAACGTTAGCGATTAATAAAGTTAGTCATAAGGTATCCAGATCGTGCGATCTCGATGTAAACTATTTGCTACAAAAGTAACACCATGGCAATTTCAAACATAACCATGCATCCTTGTCATACTGTATTATCGTCAGGTTAAATCGTTTTTTAACATCCACCTTACCTTATTTAACGGTGAGACTAGCTTGGAAATTAACTGCTTGATTAAATAAGCAATAGCAATGCCTACGATGATAGAAAGCCACGTCAAGATATCAAGGAGAAAAGAAGCCATTTCATTACTCGTGCAACAAAGAAACAGGATTTTGTCGTATTTAGGATAAACTACCTGATTTAAGGATGAAAATGGTCTACTTAAAGTAGCATAAATTGCTTGATCATTGGATACAAAAGGTGTATTTAGCGGAAAAGCTGCCTAATTATATGTATTGATGCTAACAGTATACTGTATTCGATGTAAACTGCCTGATTTTAAGAAGCAAATGGTAGATTGAGTATAAACTGTTTGATTTGGGGATGTTTATTTAGTGTAAACTGCCTTATTTTAGGATACAAATGGTAATAGTGACCCTCCCCCTAGTACCAAGCGAATTTTCATCGTCGTTTCTATTCGATTTGTATGAAAAAATTGGACTGACTGCGTACTGTAATTTGCTGTATGTTGCAGTTTGCCGTATTTGATAGTATATCATACTGCACTTAAAGTCCTCTAAAAAAACTGAATGGGATTCATATTGACCACGGAGATTCTGCTAGATCATTATTCTGGAATCTTTGACCATAGACATGGGGCACTATATCTAAATTAGCTTGATTGAGATAGCATCGTCTTTGCTCAATATATTGACCTGGCTTTCCGTCATCATCGCTCTTGTTATTGCCTATATAGCCAAGTAATTGATCTTCATGATATGGTCGCCATTAAATAAGGTAAAGCTGCATGCATTGGTCAGACTTGCAAATTACGATTTGGCTTATGCTCTATGAATTGGAGCATAACTGGTTAACAGAAACTAGAGATTAAATGGAAGGATCATTAGAGCAATTCGTCAGTGTCTAACACTGTTTTCCAACTTGAGGAAATTTTCCTTGTTCTTGTACTTTCTCACTTGGTGCTACTGATTGCATATTGGAAACATATTTACCTACGTCCCTTGGAAAAAGTATCACGAATAGTTATCATGATGACGAAATTGTTGTCTAGTTTGTGAGCAGTGTACAATAAATCTACAGCCAACAAGTTTAATTTTCAATTGTTGACTTTCTTCGCTATGACATAGAATTAAAGCTTACAACAGTTTTATTTAACCATACGTGCAGTATAATTGCTTATAACATAAATAGTACAAGTAGACCATTTCATCATACCAGCCATCATCTGCAACGACTTTATTCAGCACAGCAGATTCGTCTACATTATGTAGTGTAGGCTTTGAATTATTATAAGACTTTCATTCTACATCACTATTGTAGTTAACTGAAAATCTGAAATCATTCTATCATCGTTTATAATTTGAGGTTTTTTAACAAGTTGTAACACTTACATGATAGAAACTGGAATAGAATTCAAAGGATGAAAGATATTTTCTAATAGTAATAATTCATCACCATCTCAAATGACTCAATGGTGCCGGTGACCTTTCAGTTTTCTCTTAATAATTCATAATCTATGCTCGTAACAGGATAAATAACATTTCATATTAAAATGAGATGCTACTTCAGCCAGCTGTAAGCATTCTTGATAGAATAGAAATGTGCTTGGAAGGCTGCAGTATAATGCCAGGATCTACCGTTGCAATATAATCTAACTTTGTACCCTAGGATCAGCATCTCGACTCATATTCCGTAAAATTGTTTACTATCATCTCAATGGAATACAGCTTGAACTTGCCACAAACTTATACAATCCTTGCTATTGGTTGTCGCGTTAGGAAACTCTAGTACCTACATGATTACTTTATATCTTTTTATAATGCAAGCAATTTATCGTTAAGTTGTAATCGGACTTTACATACCCTGATCTCATCATTATCGTCAAAGCCTTGTATCTGTAACAATGCGTACTATAACTATCTTATTCGCTGACAGCCTGAGTAATTATCAGTAACTATCCTGCTAATAAAAGTCCTTGCTTCATCCTCAATCTGTCTCTACAATCTATGTGAATTAAGACATAATATCAAGGTATCCACTATACATCGCTTGTAACCTTCCCCTCAATGAAATTCGATCTAATCTTCAAACATTGTTATACAACAATTGCAATTTATCGCTGCTTGTGGTAATGTATCTTAAATCAGAAATAATCAAATTCGATAGCTTAAAATGTTTTGCTTATCACATAAATTACTTCTTCAACTAAGAACAAGACTAGATAACTCTTGGAGAAGAGATCTCGTGCTTCTATACACTATAATGATTCAATTACATCGGTAATCTCTAATTTATCTTTATCAAGTTATTCTCATAGTCTCTGATGTCCAACTACCTACTGTAAATAGGACATTCCTAATCCAAGGTACAATATTTACTATAACTATTTAGCACGGATATGTATCAATCTTACGTATTTACATATCACCTAGCAATTTCCTATAATCTGTCAAGGTATTTCAAGGACTGCAATACATTGCTTTAACGAACTGTAAACTTATATGATAGATTACGAATGTCCTTAATTAAAGGTTGTAGCTTACAACTTCTTGTATTAACAGAGGCTAAATCATAGCATTAAAAACTCTCGTAAATGATGGTATTGTTAATGTTTTCCCTTTATTAATGTACTTTTGGTTAACATGATTGTGTTATTATTATTCCATTAGGTACCTAGTCCTTCAACATAGTGGCCTTTCGGGGCATTTACCTATTCTTTTCAGAGAACTACCAGGCGATCCCTTCATCGTGTTCGTATTTACTGTACGTATTTGTATACATCAACGTCAAACATTTTGTATTTCTGTAATATCATATATTACCTACTTTAGACTATGCAATACACTGGAACTATATCGAAGCATAATAATTCGTCAAAGTTCACAAAATGATAGTCTTCATTGATCATTTTAATATGTTATAGCTGCTATGAAAATCAAAATTTAGTTGATGGATGAATTCTATCATGGGAACATTGTATTAGCCGATTTTTATTTTCTCAAAGTATTGAACAAAATCCTCTTGCCTAAGTCCAGATTTTCTAATTTCAGATGGAGTCAACAATACGGAGGAATCATCCGTTTATGTTTCCTTTTCTATAGCCAACAAATCGCTGTAACTGACCCAGAATATATTAAGCATGTCTTAGTTACACGTATTGATAATTACCGTAAGCCTACACTGATGAAAAGGTAATTAAAAAGTATGGATACTGATAAAATCTCGTGTTATTTTGAAGATAAAAAATTGGCAAATTTTTGATGCTGGGATTTAACACCGAATTTGCTTTCATACTAGCTTCGTAGTAAATATTCTTGGCGAAGGACTTATCTTAATAGACGGTGAAAAGCATACTTCTGCTCGTAAAGTTATAAATCCAGCATTTAAATATAATGAAATTAAAGGTAAAAAGAGGTGGTCTTAAAGCTATCTAGTTAATGGTAAAAAATTTTCTAATAAGTATCGCTTTGATACTTTCTCAGTAGTTATCTAAGATCTTATACCTTTAAAGCTCTCATATAATTTCAAAGCTGCAGTATCACTAAATAAAATATGTAAATATTAGACTTGAACATTTTGCAAATAAAAAAGTCATACAATTATGTATTTCAGTTTCGTGACTGGGAAAAGATCTTGAACTGTATTCTTTCTGTTCGATGCTAGAGTTGGTACCCATTTTTCAAAATATTGCTCAAGATTTGATAAATTGCTGGCAGAATATAATTAACGAACATGGCGGTCAGAGAGCTACTTTGGATGTTCATAACGATTTATCGCGAACGACGCTAGATATTATATGCAAAATGTCCGTTTGATTATCACTGTAATTTATTAACAGATGAGACGAATGAGTTTGCAGTTGCATTTGTAAAGATTTCAGGTGGTTTTATGTAATAATATCTTCTTTAAGTAGCGTAAAGTATTTTAAGGTAGACGATGATAGAAGGTATAAAGGATTTTATTGAGATACAAGTTACAGGCTAACAATGATATGGTTGTTATAGATAAGGTATTTGAGATAGCAGGAATGTAGGAACTGACTAACGAGTTAGCGTACAAGGGTATTTATAGGTTTTAGATGGGATTGAGATAATGTCTTTATATGTATAGCATGTCGTCTATATGTAGTCATGATGTCGTACATTATGAATGTAATACAATACAGTACTTAAACGGTATATGATAAATATTCGTATATTAGGATATTACTATACTAGGCATCTTCTATATAAGATCATAATGTTACAGTTTTACTGTGGGGTAAGTTTAGGATACGTGTCTTCTAGAAATTTAGATCGCATTAATGTCTTATCGAGATTCTTTATTTCTTAATAAGTTTTATGCCGGGTTCAAAATATCTGCCTATTCCAAATAAAATGGAAGAAAATCGCATTTTTGTTTATTTGCCATAGTGCTGTCAAAAAAGTAATCGACGAAAAACTAGAGAAGACTGTTACAGGTACTAAAAAACAAATTTCTTAATTTAAATGTACATATTAACGTACATTGCATTAAATAGATCTACTGAATGCTTGTAACGTGAAGGCTTATATCTATAAACTCGCATCGAAATTTTCTATAGGAGAAGGAAAATGCTTATTAGATATTCTATTATCAATAAAAGACGAAGAAGGTAACGCAAGCTTCACGCCTAAAGAGCTACAATATCATATTATGACCTTTCTGATCGCAGGCCATGAGGTTAGGACAAATGTATAATTAGATAACTGACCTACATAATAATAGCAATAATAGTAAATGAGTATACGAGCCATTTAGTAACATTAATTTCTTAGCAATTTAAATACGATAACTGCATCCTGATCTTAATTAAGACTGCAAGTTCAGCTATGGCTTAGACATTACATGCACTGGCTAATAACTTTGACGTCCAAGAAAGGCTGCGTCAAAAAATTGGTAAGATTGTACGTCCAAATGATAACATAACATGGAACACCTTTGATGAATTGCCATACCTTGATAACGTTATTAAAGAGTTGCTTAGATATGTAATAATCTATAAAAATATTAAAGTGATTATTATGCGGCTTGCAAGAGTTGCATGTTTGACAAGAAAGTATTTTGAGTTCATTGTAATTCTTCGACAGACTTACATAATCTCTGTATTTTATCTTTTTTCAACCTACAGACTTTATCCACCAGTTCCACTTACTCTACGACAGACAATACATGACGATGAGATAGGGGGATATTTTGTTCCCAAAGGAACCGTTATTACGATTATACCACCCTATAGGTACTATGAGTACTAATGCACTTGTCAACAATAATATACGTTTTATACAGAAGGAAAATATCATGTACTGTAGCATTTGATTTATTATCATAGTTAAAATTTACACCTTTACACCTTACCACAGTATATATCTATAGTATGTGGCTAACTTTATGTATGCAAAATTTTGATTTTTAGTTACTACTTATAGTTAATTCGTTAGCTTTTGCAGGTTGTATATATAGATATTTTACATTCTTAAAATTTTGTAGGAATTCAAGGTGCTTCCAGAATCCTTTAAAATTTGATCCGGATAGATGGGACAACTCAGCTAAGAATATCAGTCCATATATTAATTTATCATTCCTTAGAGGTCCTCGAACTTGTATTGGCTCGAAGTTTGCAGAAACTGAACTTAAATGCATTCTATCTTTACTATTAAGTCATTTCTCTTTCCGTGTTGTTCTAAACCTGCCCGTTAAAAGAAAGTTAAGGACATCAATGAGACCAGATCCAACTTTGAAACTTATCGTTCTACCTGTGTCGTCTTAGTAATAGTTCAATCCTTACTATTCATTATCCTTAAATTTAGAAATTTTGATTTAGTGGAATTTGCTCCATATGCAAGCTATACGAGCGATCGCACATTAATATTGTCCCTCCTATCTAAACATTCAGCCATGTTTAATTCGCCCGGTAGTTTTTTGGCCAATTTTTCTGCTTCTTGAATTGTGATATCGGCATTTGTCCATTCACCTGGTTCTTTATTGCTGTCTTCCATGTCTGCATGAATATTTTAATTGAAGTTGATAAAGTTCATCTTAATCATTCGGTGCTAATTCAATTTTTGCTAGGGCTTCTTGATAACAATATAATACTTGTGGATAGTTGCAATTTCCTTCAAATATCAGGCCCTTTTCACGAAGAGATTTTATTTCGTCAACGATCGCCAGCTCAGTAGACTCATTAGCCATGTTATTAAATTCGAACATGAAGAAAGCCAAAATGTGAGAGAAAAAGGGCGTCTACGTCTTCTTCAAGCACGATAGATTTAATCTCTTCATGCTACTGTAGTTGTATCAGGATCTACCCTTAGTTTACCAATGTTAGCTACTTTCTACATAACATAAATCTTGTTAAATCTATTTGAGCAGAAACTGAACTTGAGATTGGTGAGGTTAGACACACCCTTAATCACCTAGTGACGATCAATAGCTCTAATACTGCTAGGGTTAAATGAAGATCAAATCGGTCGCATTAGACCCAGTATTATGATGTTGACGGTTGTTTCTACATCTCCTTTCAGTACAAATAGTGATTATAATCAGCTACAAGTCTATCAATTGGTTTAAGCATAATGTCAGCTATAACTTGACTTAAAATAAACATAAGAAGAAAATCGGTACGATACGTTACAACTACAGTAGTATCTAATTATCATAATAAGGAATAAACTATCATTATAATTTTCTCTATGATATAAACTTGACTATCTATAAAGTCTAATGAAGATGGCCCTTTTGCACCTATGTATAGCCGAGGTTGTAACCACCTGTTGAAACTTGTGCCAACGATTAATGTACTGAAAACTAGTGGATCATACAGTTCGTCGTTTCAATTTTACTTGTATATTACCACCAACGTTATCAGAAGGTGTCAACAGCCGAATTTTCGCTCATTTCCAATCTTTTATCGGAATGAGTCAGTAACTCAACAATTCTAGCTTGTAATTTACTTATTAGAGATAGATGGCCAATTGAGGAATGAGTTCGCAGCGAACGGTAATGTTCCTCGACGCTAAACATCAAAAACCTGGATACTGATTCCAAGTAATATAAGCTATAAAAATGATTACACCGTCTATGTTCAGTATGCATATAATGAGGCTGCAGTTGAATCTAAATGCTAAACTAATCTACATATAGTTTAATCATCGACCAATTCAAATTAAACTCCGTTGTAACTTGTAAGTGTACGATTTAAATACCGATACCAGTACAGTATAGGTTCCAAAAATAGTCGATCACTGCTGACTGCTGTATCCCTCAAATTTTCCAGAAATTTAAGTCGCTGCAAGTCAGAGCATCGTCTATGGTATACAATGTACATTGCACTCGTATTGGGAAGTCATGAACTACAGTGCATCTAGTTGTCTATGATAGAGTACACACAGACAGTAGAACATTATATGGGGTACATGGCATAGCGTGACTTTCTATATTTATTTTGATACTTATTTAGTAGCTCATAACCATAGACTGCCGTGAAAGATTCTATGCTAGAGTACAGATAACTATATACAGTGGGGTGTTGAGTTACTGTTAAGGTTAGAGGTAAAAATAGAACAGTAATTTACATATTAGAATACGGCAAGTTCATGGTATTCTGATCAGTAGTGATAATGTTTACATAAATACTATAGTAGTTTCCATATTGGGTTAATAATGGTCCGCTGTGAAATGTTGTTATTAATAATAATCTAAATAAGTGTACAAAATGGTAGAATGTTACTATGCTGATTATAGCTACGAATGCTACGAAAAGTATAGCATATAATTATTATTATATAACATATAAATAAAGTGCTTAACAACTTAAGATGCATGCGGTACGATACTTCTCTGATATACTTAAATTCATGATTGGATGTACCGTGTATACTCGCACAAGAAAGTTCCATGCAAATAGTAAGTTAATTAGATTCGTGTAAGGTCCGAACCTGAAGGATTAGTATTACCGTTTACTACTAATACCTAACAGAAAGCATATAAGCTAACAATTTAGATTATTCTAGTAGTTCTTTTTAGAAGTATTTAGTAATTGTATTCGGATAGAGTAGAGCTGCGTATGTACATCATCGGTGCACAAGATCTAATAAAGTTCTAATTTTCTACAAAATTTGGATCTTCGTGATTGATTATATCTCATTCCTGCACTTACATATACTAGCATGAAGTAAATTAATAGAGATTAATCAATCGACGTTAGTTACAATAATTCCTTTATAGTCTAAATTATCAGAGTAGATCACTTCTCGTAAATCTTTCAGATACATTAACATTGATTTGATTTTATGGTCACTTTTGTATAATTGATTATCTTGGGCCAAACTTACCATTTCTTGCACTGTTATAATATTATGCACTCGTACCCTTCTAATTTGATTCATGATAGAAGATATCACTTCATTATCTTCATCAAGGATAGATTTGCTTAATTTGGTAGCCATAATATACCGTCAAACAGAAACAGGTTTACGAATAAATAGTAACAATTGTTCAAATATCTTAAGAACATGATGTAAACGAAGACAACATTGCTGACGCAGATCTGAAGTTAATGGACTGGCAGATCAGGACTGCAATCAATAATAATACCAGAAGAGTAGCGATTGATCGTATAAGAAGGCATAGAAAACATTAATTCACAGACAAACTTATTGAATTGACAATCTTTTACTTCTACTTTTGAAATGCAATCACCATCAGAAGCTACTAGAATAACGATAGGTAACGTACATTGTGCATTATTTCCATCAATATTAATATTAATTTTGCTTTGGCTACTAATTTGGCTAGCTAATAATTAGGTGTTGATGAGTAAGCTATCGAATTCTGCTAATCACTTTATAAATGAGTAGTAATTAATTCTGCATTGGGTATATGACATCGACAAATACCCGAACATGTAAAGCAGCAACGACACTGTTGCTATACCTTGCTATGTTGACAATAAACAAGTTAGTTTCGTTACTTAGCTAAAACACGTCTTTAACGCGAAGCAACAGTTTTGTGCACTATAACTCAACAGTCTTAAATAGTTTGTCAGATAATGTAAAGTAAGGAAAGAAGGCTCCAGTAATACGAACCTTTCACTGTTGCTAAATGTATCAGCTATTACGGTTAACAATTTACGCTCAGTTACAGTCGTATCTCTAGCAGTATTCGATATATTTGCATTATTATGATACTAATTGTATCTTATGCGTTATTAATACGTGATTACTTCGTCTAGAAGCTTTAATTCACTTTCATCACTTAATTAATCAACATTCTATTAGAGTCAAATAATTATTTAATATACCATGCTGATAACACTGAATGATTTAGCGTAACAACTTTTTACTGCTCGTCTTCTGAATCTGTTTAACCATCGAAGATGATGGCTGCCACAAAACAGTCATAACAATACACGTGCAAGCAGTTTCTGTGACTAGGTAGATTACCCTGAAGAGTCTGAACTAGAACGATGCACCAAAAAAATCATCTCAGTTACCGATTAAGAAGCTGCATTTACAATTCCTCATCTGGTGAGCGCGGTCTACTGCTGTTATCGACATTACACGACATACAGCAGTAGATAGGCTTGTATTATAGCCATTGCTGTAAGTTACTCCGCTGTGCGTATCTTTATGTAGATTATTCATATCATGCTCCTACACTTTAATTTTAAATTATAAGTTGCAATGGCGACAACATAAAACTACGTACACATACTGGTATATAACTCAATAATGAATATAAATACTACCAAAGGCTTGAACCCTGTCTACTTTTATTCCCTTTCCATTGCGGATGCATCTACTGCAAAGCGCAATATTCTAACCAATATACTGTGGGCCTTTGCAACCATTTTTCATCTTGCCATGTAGAACCATGCATGAAGTTGAAGCTATGATAAGATGCAATACCTCGACGAGTAGGCACAACCTGAATAAGGGCAAGTTAGTATTATTTCTTGTCAACTTTTCATAAGGTATTTGAAACGTTCATTACTTTAGATTAGTAGCAATCAATGATTAATATTCCAACTGTAAGGGCCATTAGCGAAGAGGCTTACAGATAATATTACTCAAATATAGATTAGATTAGAGGTTAATTTAGTTGATTGGCTACTTACAAAGTAACCAAGTCCATAGTGCTACTCCTAGTCTACTTATCTAATATCCAAATCACAACAGCAACTCCTTAATCCAAACAATTATTCAAGACCAGGACCATGAGCAGCAATCATTGCAAGTTGTAACCTGAGCGATCTGTCTCTCCCATTACATTATTTTTTTTGTTTTAGAATCTATAGATTGTCACCATAGAC